CATCTTTGTGGATTTATCCTCCTGTCGTCTGTGTAGTTGCTGATTTTCAGATTGGGTCTCTGAGTGGACGTTCAGAATGTTGATGATGAAGTATTTCTGTTTCTTAGTTTTCCTTCTAACAGTCTGGCCCCACTGCTGTAGGACTGCTGAGGTCCACTCCAGCCCCTGCTTGTCTGGGGAACTCCTGTAGCAGCTGTGGAACCGTGAGGGTTGCTACCAGTTTCTTCTTCTGCTATCTTTGTTCCAGAATGATGCCCGCCAAATGTCAGGCTGATCAGTCCTTTGTGAGGTGACTCTTTTGATATATGGGGTCAGGGAGCTGCTTGAGGAGACAGTCTGTTCTTTATAGGAGCTCAAGTGCTGAGCTGTGAGCTCCGTTGTTCATTCAGGGCTGTTAGGCAGGTACGTTTAAGTCTGCTGCAGCAGAACTCATAACCCCCTTTTTTTCCCCAGGTGCTCTGTCCCAGGGAGTTAGGGCTTTATTTATGAGTATCTGCTGTGCTGCTGCCCGTTTTTTTTTTTTCCTTTCAGGGCTGCCCTGCCCAGCAAAGAGGCAGCCTAGTCACTGTCTGCCTGCAGAGGCTTTGCTGAGCTGCTGTGGGCTCCACCCTGCTGTCAGCTCTGCCCTGCTGCCCTGTGAGCTTCCCTGCAGTTCTGTTTATATGGGTGTGGTTAGAACTGCCTCGGCAATGGTGGCCCGCCTCTGTAATGGCGGACTCTCTCTGTTATGGCGGGTTGCCTCGGCAATGGCAGGCTGCCTCAGCAATGGCAGACTACCTCCGTAGGGGTGGAGTGCCTTGGTAATGGCGGATGCCCCTCCCCCACAGAGCTGGACTGTCTCTGGTTCAGCTGTGCTTGCCGTGAGACTCTCAACCCCAAGCATTTCCAATTGCCGGGTTTTTTTGTTTGTTTTTGTGGGCGTGCGACCCGCCAAGCCTTATCACCTGGCTCCCTGCCTCAGAGCCTTTTTTTTTTAAGTTGAACGGTTGACTCTCTCCCAGGTGTTCCAGTCGCCTGCTGAAAGGCATTGGGATCTGTGAGATTTCCCTTGTGGTGACCCACTGTGCCAGCTGAAACAGCGGCGCTGCCCGGGAATCTCCTAGTCTGGGTCCCTGTTTCAGACCTGTTTAATCAGTTGAATGGGCGAATCTGCCTTCCCAGAGCTTCAGTTGCCAGCTTAAAAGGACAACCAGACCAGTGTATTTTGTACAGAGAGCCGCATACCTGGGCGCCGGCAAAACAGCTGTGCCGGCCGAAACAGCCACACTGGCCAAAACTGCCACGCTGGCAACCCGTGGGGCTCCTCCACCTGGGAATCTCCCGGTCTGTGGGCAATAAAGATCCATCTGGAAATGCGGCGTCCACTCACCCTCTGTGCTTTCACTGAGAGCTGCAATCCTGAGCTGCTCCTAAAGAGCCATCTTGGATCAGTCCCACACATGACTTTTCTATTACTTATTTGACGGTAAAGCTTGTTCATGCTTCACTTTCAGCCTTCTGAATCCTTATGTTTGCCAGTTCCTCTGGTTGACCACATGCAGTCATATTTAATATTTTCATCCATCTGACAATCTATCTATTGGTGCATTTAGACCATCTACAGTCATTATAATTACTAATGTTTAGGGGTTTATTTTTACCCTCTTATTTTGAAGAGATGTGATCTGCCTGCCTGAGTTTTTCTTTATTTAAAAGTAGTAAGCACACTTGTGTTGTACTGTTAGTGCTCCGAGCTTTATTTCTATTTCTTTGCAGGCTGGGTCTTCTGGTTCTCATTCATGGTATCTTATCTCCTTGTATTTCTGATTTTTGTTGGCATATGCTGGCATTAAACTTGAAAAATGCAGTGCAGGCATAACTGGAGGCCTTGGAAATACCTTATTTGCCTTCGGTGGGCCCAGGATCATCTTAACCCACATTCCAGGCAGGAAGTTCCCAGGACCACCTCCATGACAGGCACCAGAGGCCTGGCTGGCGTCTGGTTTCTGTTTTCTCTAGGGTGAAGCCTTTGCCCTACGTCGGGAGGTGGTCAACCATAGCCAGAGGTGGTCAACCAGAGGCCCACCCTTGGCGGACCTCGCACTGTTCCTGGCCTCCCTGGTCCCTTGAGGCTGCTGGAGGGTCGGCGCATTGTATAACTGTTCTTCCGGCATCAGCCGTGTCTCAGGGTGAGGGCTTCCCCACGCCGCCACCCCCAGGCTTTCCTTTCCTCTTGAGTTTCACTCTCACTTCTGTGTTACCTCACTGATGCTGTTGGCAAGTGACTTTTACAATGAATTCACATTTCATGACCTTGGGCAGTGGATTGGTCTGACCCACTTGGGTCTCTCCTCCCTGGAGTGGCTCCATCTGCTCACCTGCTTCTCTGCTGGGGTGGCCTCTACACAGACTTCCAGACAGAGTTCAGTCTGTCACCATCCACCCTCTGCTGACAGTCCCAGCGGCGATGCAGTCCGTCACTCTGTGGGGAGGTTCTCTTGTTCCTCCCCACAGCTCTGTTTCTGTCAGGGCTGTGCCCTCTCTCCCCAGCACCATCTGTGGCCAGGTCTGACACTTGTCCCCCTTCCTCTGGTGTGACACCCCTCATGTTCCTGAAGACCCTATTAACTCCCCTCCTCCCTGTCCTGGCCTCATCTCCTGAGGGACAGCGCCTTGGGGACTCTCCACCTCTACCCACCCACACACTCACCTCATCCTGGGAGACTCTTGCCATTCCCCCAGCCCAGAGCCTCCGGAGCAGGGGCTGGCTTCAGCCATCTGCCCCAGCCTCCCCAGCCCCAGCCTCCCAGCCCAGCTGGCACATCTGACAAATGCTTTCTGCTTTCTCAGCCACACCAGCCTCTGGTTCAGCCCTTCAGGGCCTCCACGAGCCTTCAGGCATTATCTGGTTCAAGCCTCCCAGCAGCCCTCCGGACAGGGGTGGGCACATGCCTGATTCCGTATGATCCCACAAGCTCAAAATAGTTCTCCCCTTTTTTAATGGGGAAAAAGAAAAAGAATCACATCTCATGACACATGAAACTCATATGAAGTTAAAATGTCAGTGTCCACAAATAAAGCCTCGTGGGCTCGTGGGCACCCGGCCACGCTATGTGTGGCTGCTTTCACACCATGACCAGGGTTGGGTATTTGTGCCAGAGCCGGCAGCCCCCGGCCTGAGCTGTTTGCTCTCTGGAGGGCAGCGTGGCACCTAGGAAGGCAGGCAGTGGGCAAGCAGACTCTGAGTCCAAGGCTTAGGGGCGCGGGGTCATCATCCTCATGTAGCGACAAGCCCTTCAGCTCTGCGGTTCTTGTGCTGGCCTTGAGGGCCTGCAGGGCTGCCAGGGAGTGGGGCTCTTTCCATCTGTTTGTCCACCTTCTTCTGGTAGTGCCCTTCAGAGGGCTCCCCAGGACAAGGCACTGACCCTTGAGGTTGCGATCTGACCTGCTAGCTGCACAGCTGGGTGTCGTTAGGGGCAGGGGTGAGGGAGGCTGAGGGAGGTGGTGTCAGCCATCGGTCAGTGCAGCTGTCCCTACTTTATAGATGGGCCCAGTTAGCTGGCCACGTTCTCTGGCCAAGTCACTGGTCCCCAGCAATGCACGACAGCGTCAGGTCATGTTTACTCATGGCATGGCACACCCGCCGTCCACATGCACGCTGAACCTGTATTTATCTCTGTATCTGTAGAGGGTGAACACTAATTGCACCTTTTGCAGGTGAAGCACCTGCAGTCCAGAGAGGAGGCGAGATTTCCTCTAGGGTCTCACAACTTTTTTTTTTTTTTTTGAGATGGAGTTTTGCTCTTGTCGCCCAGGCTGGAGTGCAGTGGCATGATCTCAGTTCACCGCAACCTCCACCTCCCTGCCTCAGCAGGGTTCAAGTGATTCTCCTGCCTCAGCTTTCTGAGTAGCTGGAATTACAGGCACGTGCCACCAAGCCTGGCTAATTTTGTATTTTTAGTAGAGACAGAGTTTCTCCATGTTGGTCAGGCTGGTCTCAAACTCCTGACCTCAGGTGATCCACCTGCCTTGGTCTCCCAAAGGGCTGGGGTTACAGGCGTGGGCCACTGCACCCGGCCTCACAACTTCTTAGTTCATGTCAGTTTTACCCAAAGATGCTGAGGCCCAGCTGGTCTATCTCAGGGGCACAGTCAGAGGCACAGTTTTGTGAACACAGCATTCGCCTCACTCAGGTTCGTTTTTGTGTTTCCCTGGTACTGTAAAAGAAACACAGAAATATTTACAGAATAAATACCTACAGAATAAAGTGCAGAAATCATTCTTGAAGTCCCCCATCCCTCTCCCATATGGCTCCTTCACCAGCCCAGATACCCTCCAGACTCCCAGTCCTGCAGACTCCCTCCCCAGCTTCCTCCGCACTCCTCTTCCTCCCTGTTCCCATCTCAAGAGCCCATCAGGTACAGGGAGACAGGAGGGCCCTGACCCCAGGTTGGTGGGGTAGGAGCATGCAGTGTGGCTGGCAAAGGTGGTGAGTGGCCTTGGTCAGCCCTGAGCTGGTGCTCCGGGCACCAGGGGGGAACCTCATGGAGCCAGGAGGACGGTACTGTGGAGAGTGGGGCTGTGGTGGGAGATGGGGAAGTCGCAGGCCCTGAGTCAGGGGCCAGGGGCCGGTCGCCGGTCTCTCTGAGCCTGGTTTCTTCACCTGCATTGGTCCACACCTCCAAGGGTTGCAGACATGGAAACGGGTTGTACATTTAATGCATGGGGCACGGCAGGTGTGAGGGGTCTGGACGGGGCACCCTGATCCTGTCAGCTCAGCACTGCTTCATATGCAGTACCTGGTACTGTCTGTGCCAGGACAGGGGGGCTGTGAGATGAGGCTCAGGGGCTCCTAGGCAGGTCTCTGGAACCCCACGGCCCAGACTCAAGTCCTGCCCCTACTGGGAAGGGCACCAGGGCAGCCTGTGCCATGGGGCTGGGTGAGTGTCCTGCACAGGGCCAGCCCCATGGGCACCTGGTAAGTGTCATGGTGGGTCACATGTGTGCCCTCCTCACTGCAGTGCTGCCAGACCCTGGTTTCCCACCACGTGGATCCCTCCCTGCGGGATGAAGATGGTTACACAGCGGCGGACCTGGCGGAGTACCACGGACACCGGGACTGTGCCCTGTACCTGCGGGAGATGGCCCAGCCGGTAAGGCTCAGGGTCCCCAGCTGCCCTGGAGGCATAGGGGTGGGCCCAGATCCCAGCCAGGGCCCCACTGCTGAACCTGGTGGGGCCAGGATCAAGGGCCTGAGGAGGACAGAGGCACCACAGGGCAGCCAGCGCCAGAGCCAGGCTGTGACAGGGGCAGGACAGGGCCTGTGATGTGTGGGGCCAGGGCAGAGACAAGGACGGGGGCTGTTAACAGGGGCCAGAACAAAGGGCATGTGACAGGGCTGAGCCTGGGCTTGTGGCTGGAACCTGCCATCCGCCTGCGTCACAGAGACCACTCATGACTCGAGAGTCTCTGTGGCCAGGGCTTTTCATGGGTGATGTATGTCAGACTGAGGAGCCCAGAAGTGGGAGCAGAGCCTCCCACAGGTGACCACAAGGCGGCTGGCAGCCCTGCAGCAGCCAGAAGGCACCAGATGCCAGCCCTGGCTCTTGCCTCTCAGCCTGGGACCTCGCAGTCTCTCATTTCCCCATTTTTGAGGACAGGGATCTTGTCTGTCTCACTGGTCCCCAGCCCCTAGCACATGACAGGGCTCAACAAGTGTTTGCTGAATGAAAAATAAGCAAAGGGACAGAAAAGCAGGTGGATGCATCAGGGTGAACTGAGGAGGGGATGGATGGGGAGAGAACAAACAGGAGGAATGATGGGGCAAGGAGGCCAAAGGAGGGAGGGATGGGGGAGGAATAAATGGGGGAGGGAGAGCACAGGAGAGTGGAGAGAGGACAGATAGACAAAGGAGGAATGGATGGAGGAAGGTGGATGGAGGATGTGGATGGAGGAGGGTGGATGGAGGAGGGTGGATGGAGGATGTGGATGGAGGATGTGGATGGAGGAGGGTGGATGGAGGATGTGGATGGAGGAGGGTGGATGGAGGATGTGGATGGAGGATGTGGATGGAGGAGGGTGGATGGAGGATGTGGATGGAGGAGGGTGGATGGAGGAGGGTGGATGGAGGAGGGTGGATGGAGGATGTGGATGGAGGAGGGTGGATGGAGGAGGTGGATGGAGGAGGGTGGATGGAGGATGTGGATGGAGGAGGGTGAATAGAGGATGTGGATGGAGGATGTGGATGGAGGATGTGGATGGAGGATGTGGATGGAGGATGTGGATGGAGGATGTGGATGGAAGATGTGGATGGAGGATGTGGATGGAGGATGTGGATGGAGGATGTGGATGGAGGATGTGGATGGAGGATGTGGATGGAGGATGTTGGATGGAGGATGTGGATGGAGGATGTGGATGGAGGATGTGGATGGAGGATGTGGATGGAGGATGTGGATGGAGGATGTGGATGGAGGATGTGGATGGAGGATGTGGATGGAGGATGTGGATGGAGGATGTGGATGGAGGATGTGGATGGAGGATGTGGATGGAGGATGTGGATGGAGGATGTGGATGGAGGATGTGGATGGAGGATGTGGATGGAGGATGTGGATGGAGGATGTGGATGGGATGTGGATGGAAGATGTGGATGGAGGATGTGGATGGAGGATGTGGATGGAGGATGTGGATGGAGGAGGTGGATGGAGGATGTGGATGGAGGATGTGGATGGAGGATGTGGATGGAGGATGTGGATGGAGGATGTGGATGGAGGATGTGGATGGAGGATGTGGATGGAAGATGTGGATGGAGGATGTGGATGGAGGATGTGGATGGAGGATGTGGATGGAGGAGGGTGGATGGAGGATGTGGATGGAGGATGTGGATGGAGGATGTGGATGGAGGATGTGGATGGAGGAGGGTGAATAGAGGATGTGGGATGGAGGATGTGGATGGAGGATGTGGATGGAGGATGTGGATGGAGGATGTGGATGGAGGATGTGGATGGAGGATGTGGATGGAGGATGTGGATGGAGGATGTGGATGGAGGATGTGGATAGAAGATGTGGATGGAGGATGTGGATGGAGGAGGGTGGATAGAGGATGTGAATAGAGGATGTGGATGGAGGAGTGTGGATGGAGGATGTGGATGGAGGATGTGGATGGAGGATGTGGATGGAGGATGTGGATGGAGGATGTGAATAGAGGATGTGAATAGAGGATGTGGATGGAGGATGTGGATGGAGGATGTGGATGGAGGATGTGGATGGAGGATGTGGATGGAGGATGTGGATAGAAGATGTGGATGGAGGATGTGGATGGAGGAGGGTGGATAGAGGATGTGAATAGAGGATGTGGATGGAGGATGTGGATGGAGGATGTGGATGGAGGATGTGGATGGAGATGTGGATGGAGGATGTGGATGGAGGATGTGAATAGAGGATGTGAATAGAGGATGTGGATGGAGGATGTGGATGGAGGATGTGGATGGAGGATGTGGATGGAGGATGTGGATGGAGGAGTGTGGATGGAGGAGGGTGAATAGAGGATGTGGATGGAGGATGTGGATAGAAGATGTGGATGGAGGATGTGGATGGAGGATGTGGATGGAGGATGTGGATGGAGGAGGGTGGATGGAGGATGTGGATGGAGGATGTGGATGGAGGATGTGGATGGAGGATGTGGATGGAGGATGTGGATGGAGGATGTGGATGGAGGAGGGTGGATGGAGGAGGGTGGATAGAGGATGTGGATGGAGGATGTGGATGGAGGATGTGGATGGAGGATGTGGATGGAGGATGTGGATAGAAGATGTGGATGGAGGATGTGGATGGAGGAGGGTGGATAGAGGATGTGATAGAGGATGTGATGGAGGATGTGGATGGAGGATGTGGATGGAGGATGTGGATGGAGGATGTGGATGGAGGATGTGGATGGAGGATGTGGATGGAGGATGTGGATGGAGGATGTGGATGGAGGATGTGGATGGAGGAGGGTGGATGGAGGAGGGTGAATAGAGGATGTGGATGGAGGAGGGTGGATGAGGGATGTGGATGGAGGATGTGGATGGAGGATGTGGATGGAGGAGGGTGGATGGAGGATGTGGATGGAGGATGTGGATGGAGGATGTGGATGGAGGATTGGATGGAGATGTGGATAGAGATGTGGATGGAGGATGTGGATGGAGGAGGGTGGATAGAGGATGTGGATGGAGGATGTGGATGGAGGATGTGGATGGAGGAGGGTGGATAGAGGATGTGGATGGAGGATGTGATAGAAGATGTGGATGGAGGATGTGGATGAGGATGTGGATGGAGGATGTGGATAGAAGATGGGGATGGAGGATGTGGATTGAGGATGTGGATGGAGGATGTGGATGGAGGATGTGGATGGAGGAGGGTGGATAGAGGATGTGGATGGAGGATGTGGATGGAGGATGTGGATAGAAGATGTGGATGGAGGATGTGGATGGAGGAGGGTGGATAGAGGATGTGGATGGAGGATGTGGATGGAGGATGTGGATGGAGGATGTGGATGGAGGATGTGAATAGAGGAGGTGAATAGAGGAGGTGGATGGAGGATGTGGATGGAGGAGGGTGGATGGAGGATGGTGGATGGAGGATGTGGATGGAGGATGTGGAGGGAGGATGTGGATGGAGGATGTGGATGGAGGATGTGGATGGAGGATGTGGATGGAGGATGTGGATGGAGGATGTGGATGGAGGAGGTGGATGGAGGAGGGTGGATAGAGGATGTGGATGGAGGATGTGGATAGAGGATGTGGAATGGAGGATGTGGATGGAGGATGTGGATGGAGGATGTGGATGGAGGATGTGAATAGAAGATGTGGATGGAGGATGTGGATGGAGGAGGGTGGATAGAGGATGTGGATGGAGGATGTGGATAGAAGATGTGGATGGAGATGTGGATGGAGGATGTGGATGGAGGATGTGGATAGAAGATGTGGATGGAGGATGTGGATGGAGGAGGGTGAATAGAGGATGTGGATGGAGGATGTGGATGGAGGATGTGGATGGAGGATGTGGATGGAGGATGTGGATGGAGGATGTGGATAGACGATGTGGATGGAGGATGTGGATGGAGGAGGTGGATAGAGGATGTGAATAGAGGAGTGGGATGGAGGATGTGGATGGAGGATGTGGATGGAGGAGTGGATGGGAAGGATGGATGAGGAGGTGTGGATGGAGGATGTGGAGGGAGGATTGTGGATAGGAGGATGTGGATGGAGGAGGGTGGATGGAGGGGGTGAATAGAGGATGTGGATGGAGGATGTGGGATGGAGGATGTGGATGGAGGATGTGGATGAGATGTGGATGGAGGAGGTGATGGAGGATGGATGGAGGATGTGGATGGAGATGTGGATGAGGATGTTGGATAGAAGATGGGGATGGAGGATGTGGATGGAGGAGGGTGGATAGAGGATGTGGATGGAGGATGTGGATGGAGGATGTGGATGGAGGAGGTGGATAGAGGATGTGGATGGAGGATGTGGATAGAAGATGTGGATGGAGGATGTGGATGGAGGATGTGGATGGAGGATGTGGATGGAGGAGGGTGAATAGAGGATGTGGATGGAGGAGGGTGGATGGAGGATGTGGATGGAGGATGTGGATGGAGGATGTGGATGGAGGATGTGGATGGAGGATGTGGATGGAGGATGTGGATGGAGGATGTGGATAGAGGATGTGGATGGAGGATGTGGATGGAGGATGTGGATGGAGGATGGTGGATGGAGGATGTGGATGGAGGAGGGTGGATAGAGGATGTGGATGGAGGATGTGGATGGAGGATGTGGATGGAGGATGTGGATGGAGGAGGGTGGATAGAGGATGTGGATGGAGGATGTGGATGGAGGAGGTGGATAGAGGATGTGAATAGAGGATGTGGATGGAGGATGGTGATGGAGGATGTGGATGGAGGATGTGGATGAGGAGGTGGATGGAGGAGGGTGGATGGAGGATGTGAATAGAGGATGTGAATAGGGATGTGGATGGAGGATGTGGATGGAGGGGGTGATGGGGTGTGGATGGAGGATGTGGATGGAGGTGTGGATGGAGGATGTGGATGGAGGATGTGGAATGGAGGATGTGGATGGAGGATGTGGATGGAGGATGTGGATGGAGGATGTGGATGGAG